TGTCTTTGTGTGCGCGTGTGCACGGGCGTGCATGCCGGGTGCGTGCGTGTCCCCGTGCCCATGTGCCCTCCGAGGACAGCAGGGCCCTGGGGGTGCGGCGGGTGCCCGCGCCTGCACACGCACGCTCGGACACACACATGCATACGCACATCTCCACCCCTGCACACTCCCTTAGACGCGCGCACATGCAGTGCCCAGCACACCTCTCACCCCCTTGGCCACACACACATACGCCCCTGCCCACCTACACCCACCGCACTGCCCAGCGCCCCCTGAGCACTTGCCCCCCTCGCCGCAGGCCGGGCTGTGCATGCAGCATGCACAGGCAGACACACGGCTGTGCAGGTGCCCAGTCCTACACATGGGCAAGAAGCGCTGCCCATAGACACCTCCTGGCATGCACAGACACCCCCTGGCACATGCCCACGGACACCCCTGCACAGGCCTCATAACCACGCTGCTGTGTGCAACCCCTCACACGCTTGTGCTCCCACAGTCTAATGGCACATGGCACTGCCTGTGCACAGACACCAAGATACCTGCCACCCCTGCAATCTCACACACACACACGCACACCATCCTCTTCACACACACACACACACACACACACACACACACACACACACACACACACACACACACACACACACACACACACACACACACACACACACACACACACACACACACACGGACATATTGTCTCAAATCCACACAGCTTTCTAGGCCTCTGTGCCTGGAGGGGGGCTGCCCCAGGGATAACAAACACACAGAGGCTGGGTCGACCACTGGGGATGGACCTGGATGGACCCCCCTCATCATTAGCTGCACCTCCAACTTCTCCCCAGTCTCCCAAAACTGGCTGGGGATTCACCTGCGTGGGGGAGAACCTGAGAGCACACACCGGCATGCAGTGTGCAGCCATCACTCACCCCTCTGCAAACACACACACATGCTCTAACCACACATATCGATGCAGTGTGCACCTACCTGCACGCCCCTCTATGTTCACCCTCCAGGTGCACACACACATGCACACCATGTGGACCCCCCCACATGCGTGCACCCTCAGCGTGTGTGCCCACAAAAATCAACCTCTTTGTGTCCATGCACATGCACATGGACACATGATGTACCACCCATGCATGTACTCAGCCCATGGAGGTGCTGGCTTCCTGTTCACAAACACACAGCACGCATGCACACACACCCCCCATGGACATGGAACCTCTACAGGTATACAAGCAAATATGCATAGGTAGGCACTCACCTACTGTGCACATGAACTCCATGTGTGCAGTCACACACTGAACACGCACACAGCCCCCTCTGCACACAGCCTCCCACAGGCAGGACCCACATGCACAAGTATTCACAGTCCCTTCAGCTCACATGCATCTGACTGTGTCCCTCCTCCTTCGGGGCTCCCTGCTCTGTCCCAGGAATGGGGTGCAGGCAGTGGGGCTGGGATATGCCCCTCCCTTCCATGTGTCCATCTGTCCATGTGCCCATCCCTTCCCCCGCAGCAGAGGGATTAGTGGGATCCATAGATTATCCCCTGCTGGCATTGCTCCCTCAGGAAGAGAAACACACATCACCCAGACCCCCGCAGCCCCTTTCCACCCACTGCCCAATGTCAGCCCCACAAGCCCTCCCAGAGCCAGCCCCACAAGCCTTCCCCTGCCCTGCATCCTCTCCACGTCCCCCTCCCTTCATCCAGACCAACCCCCTCTTGCCCCTCCCTTCCCACCAGGGAGCTCTATAGTGAAAAGGGAGGGTCCCTGGCCACTTCCCCCCCCACCCCCAACCGCCCCCTGACTGCCCATTTGCTTCCCTACAACCCTGGGGAAACCCTCACAAGTTAGCCCCTGCCCCTGGCCCTGCCCCTGCCCCACCTATTGATCCTGCCCTCAGGCCCAGTGCTCAATGTCCCTGCCTCAGGCCCTGATTCCTGCCCCTCCCTCCCTCCCTCCCTCCCTCCCTCCAGTACTGACCCTACATGGCAAGTCCCCCACCCCCCCCAACCCCCACTTACCTCACATGCCAAGGCCCAGACAGTGCTGTCCCCAGAAACCAGCTGTAGATGTGGTGCAGGACTCCTGGGTTCTTTTCCTAGCCCTGCCTCAGATGTCTTGTCTGACCTTGGGATTGTCCCTACTATGTGCTCCATGCCTCAGTTTCCCCTCTGTATCACAGGGGTGGTGACCAGGCCCAGGGAGGGTGTGAACCACACCATGGTGGCTTGTATGAAGTTCCCCAGAGACTCCTTTCTTTTTTCTAGTGCCCCCAAGGGAGCCCTGCCCCACAGACATCCACCCTGAAACTCACCCCATAAGATACCTTCCAACCCCAGTCCCACCTCAAGTGCTTCATTTCCCTCTGTGCCTGTCAGCCATGCAAGAGTTAACACACACACACACACACACACACACACACACACACACACACACACACACACTCCTAGACCCCCACCCCCCCAACCCCACCCCTCAAATCCATTTGCTCCCTCCCACCATGCCAGGGCAGGCTGGCATCAGCCCACGCAGTACACAGTTAAAAGGCTCTGCTGGCAGACCCATTCCCTGCCGCGCCAGCGCTCAGCAGCAAGAGACAGATCGCGCCCCAGGAGCCCTTTGATCCGGGAACAGGCGGCGCCTCTGATCCAGCTCTGGCGCCTGGCTGCGCTCAGTGGGGGGGATGTGCTGCCCTCAGACCAGCTGCCCTGTCTGCACAGAGAGAGCAAGGCCGCACAGTGCTGCCAGCCCCTCAGCCTTGATCCACCACCTGGGTCTGCCCCCTGCCCAGCCATGCCTGGCCTCTCATGCCCTGCCACCCCAGCCTTGAGGTCCTTCGCACCTCCCCACAGCTCTGCCACTGCCCCTGAATTCTGACCCACAGTGCCTGTAATCCCAGCCCAGGGCCCCAAAAAGGGAGCATAGTGTTGGGGAAAAGCCCTAGCCCTGATGGGTTTGCATGTATTCAGGGCTGTTCCCAACACTGCTAGGGCCAGGGTAACAGCACCATCCTCATTGGCCTGGCTACAGACATCTTCCATAATGCATCAGAACATGCCTGTGCCTTGCACATGCTACATGTGTACACTTGCACACAGTGCACATGCATGCACATGCACTGGACACTACATGATTTGCATGTGTATGTGTGCACATTACATATGCACATGTGCATGGCTGTAGACATGCATGTACACCGCACACAATTACACTCCCACTGAACACACACAGCACATGCACAGACCACAGACACTTACAGACAGTACACATACATGCACAAAACCCCAGTTGCTTATACATAATCAAGCATGCGCTTACAGTAACTGCACACGTGCATTCACAGAGCCCCTATCTCCTATCCAAACACAAACACACTCACTGTAGCTGCCCGCACAGGCCACGGAAGTGAGGACACATACACACACACACACAGAGGACACACTCCCAGTACTGCTGACAGCCCCAGGGAAGACACACTCCCAGCTGCCGCTGCACGGTGGCAGCAGCTGAGCTCATGGACTGCACCCCACAGATGCTCCCCACCTTCTACCCTGCCCAGCTGGGAGACAAGCTTCCTCGAGATGGGTGAGGGGAGCCCAAGCATAGGGGAAGAATGATTGCCCCCCCATATCTGGGGAGCCCAAGCCGTGACACTTATTGACCACTGCAGCTCAGCCACAGCTCACAAGGCTGTTCCCCCTTCAGCCACCCACCAGAGCTAGGCAGAGAGCAGGGGAAGCTGGGCCTGACACGGAGGAACCTCTAACCCACTTGCAGGGTGGCCTGGACCCATCTCCTCTGCTGAGATGGGCTCTGGGAACCAAAGCAGGGAGGGCAGTGGGAACAAACCAGGTGCATAGAAAGAGCAGGGAAGGAAACCTGGAAGGAGCATCTCATAGATATGGGGACTGAGTGTATGCTGGGCAGGCTGTGCAGTAACTGTGGAGTGTCAGAGCAGAGGGGCTTTTCTGCATTAAACCTATGCAGAGACACAGAGAGAGAGAGAGAGAGAGAGAGAGAGAGAGAGAGTGTGTGCGCGCGCGCGCGCAGTAGCCATGAGGTTCTTTGTGTGAGGAGTTCTGTTCATTGATTTGGGGGAACTGTGTATGTGTCAATGCATTACAAGTGTCATCTGTCAGTCTGTGTATGCATGTGTGTTAGGGGGTTGCACTGGGTGTGGCAGACTGCCAGGCCATACCCTGTGGTCTCTCATTTGTCTGCAGGGAAACCCCGTTAGTAGTCCCCCATGGAGGCTTAGGACTGGGTGGGCTGGGTTTCAAGGCTGGGAGGAGCCTCCTGAGCTGAGTATATATGCCCATGGTCAGGGCTTCAGATGCCTCTCCCCACTCCACACAAAAAGCATCCCTTCCAACATCACACACGTACACACACCCTCTGTCTCCCTGCCCACTTTGCCCAGTTGCAAGGCGCGTGAACCTGCCCATGTCGAGGCACTGAAAGCTGCACCTCCCCCCTGGCACAAGTGTGAGCTTGTCGTAAGAGGCAATGGTGGGGCGAGGGGTTGGCACAGGCCCAAGGGGTCAAAGTCTGGTGGCAGCCCCATGTCCTGGTGTGCCCTGCTGAGCTTGGCGGTGGTTTCTGTGGGCCAGACAGACCTGCACAGACTCCAGGCTACATCTCCCCCTGCCAGGAGCTGCCCTGGGCCCTGTCCAGAGAGGGCCCCTAACAATGTGCGCAGGCCAGTGAGAACCACCCCCTGGTCTGCTGGCCCCACTGCACAGGGAGCACAACTGGGACCGGGAGTGTCGAACTAAGCAGAGGCAGTGTGAAAGTGGTCCATCCCAATCCACCCCTTTGAGTGTCTCCTATGATGCGCCCCTCCCTTGTCTCTAATTAGCCCACACCCCGGCCCTCTCATTTGTCCTGCCTAGGTTTTTCCTGTGTGTGTGATGAGGAAGGGACCTTAGAAGCCCCGACCACAGGCAAAACCTCCCTACTCAGCCAAAACAGGTTGACAATAAAATATATAGTTAGGAATGTTTTAATGAGTTCAATTCTCTCATTAACAATATAATGCAGATGCTTTAATGCTGAATAGAGGTATAGGTTGTAGCCATGTTGGTCTAAGGACATATCAGATTTGCCCAAAGAACCCTGTCTGCTTAATGCTGAATATAAACTCACAGGACAGGTTTTAACAGCCATAAAAGGGACCAGATCAAACACGGTCCCCATGCTGTGCTAGCTGCCATCCTGCCCATGAATGTATATGTGAGGGTATTCACAGCCTAGTGCCTATGGCTTTTCTCCTTTGCCCAGTAACCTTTAGTATGACACTGTAAGCAAGTAATTACCAGGCATAACACCCTTACCTCTGCCCATTGTCCTTACTCTGCCCTACAATAAGCCTAAAGACAGTGGGACATACTCATCATCATCTACGTCTGGGTCAAAGATGACACAAGGGCTCTCTTCTGTTTCCAGGCGTTGTGAGGGGAGTATTCTGAGCTCCGTCCCTATGGTCCAGAGTGCAAAGAAAGGGAAGACTGGCCCCCCTTTCTCCCAGGAGCAACCTGAGAAGGTGAAGATGTGGGCCAAGTCCTCAGCCTCATAAAAGGACACGCTGTGATGTTCACAGTCCACCTGAACTCTGATCTTCCTTGGTTTTTCCTCCAGGCACAGGCGGGTTCGGGCAATGGTGAGAGCCTCCCACTGCCCTTCCATGCACTGCAGAGCCCAGACTCCCATGTCAGGGAACAGCAGGAACTCACCCATCCTTTCTACAGACTCCTTGGCCACCCCAGTGGCCCAGCTGCCCCAGCTCCCCACCTCCACATCCCAGTACCACTTCCCAGATGTGAAGCTCTTGGAGGCCAGGACACTGGGCAAGCAGCTGAATCTCTTGGTGGTTTGGGGGACAATTTGCCAGATGGCCCCATGAGTCACACTTCTCCGATCCTTGGACAGGATGAGATAGGGGTATGCTGTGTCCTCAGCCAGGGTCACCTCTGCTGCTGACAGGGACTCTGCGGACAGAGAGAAAACCCAGGACAGTTAGGCACCTCAGTGCCTGTGAAGGCCGGGGCCTAGGGCCAAGCCATAATGGTTTGAAACTCAAGCCTCAAAGTCACTCCTGCACCTTCTCTCTTGCTTGAAGTGTGCAAGTCCCTTGCTTTGGGGTTCACTGGAGTGATCCTAAGTCTGGCACTCAGGAGATGACATAGCGTGGGTGACCTGGCAGTGCTGCCTCTTTGCTCCTCAGTTTCTTCCACTATGAGAGATGATCATGGGTTCATCAAAGGCAGGTCCTGCCTGACCAACCTGATTGTCTTTTATGACCAAGTAGCTAAATTCTTGGATGATGGTGTCACTGTGGACGTAGTCTTTCTAGACTTTAAGAGGGCCTTTGACACTGTCTTTCACCCCATTCTCATCAATAAATTAGGCGACTGTGGCATTGATGCCTACACAGTTGGATGGGTAAAAAATTGGCTGAGGGGGCACACCCAGAGAGTAGTGGTGGACGGGTCGTACTCAACCTGGGATGTGAGCAGTTGGGTACCCCAGGGCTCAGTCCTCGGGCCTGCACTGTTTAACATCTTCATCAGCGACTTGGACAAGGAGGTGGAAAGCACGTTGTCCAAGTTTGCTGATGACACTAAGATGTGGGGCGGGGTAGACACACTTGAAGGGAGAGAGAGGCTGCAACTAGATTTAGACAGACTACAAAAGTGGGCAGATGAGAATAGGATGGGGTTCAACGTAGATAAATGCAGGGTGCTGCACCTTGCAAGAAGGAATCCACAGCATACATACAGGCTGGGGAGTTCCCCTCTTGAAAGCACAGAGGCGGAAAGGGATCTTGGAGTCATTATTGACTCCAAGATGAACATGAGCCGCCAATGCCAGACCGCAGCCAGCAAGGCCAGCCATACCTTGTCATGCATCCAAAGGTGCGTCTCAAGCCCGTCCAGAGAGGTGATACTCCCCCTCTATGCGACACTGGTCAGGCCGCAGTTGGAGTACTGCGTCCAGTACTGGGCGCCGCACTTTAAAAAGGATGTGGCCAGCCTGGAGAGTTCAAAGGAGGGCCATCCACTTGGTGAGAGGGCAGCCCTATGAGAAGAGACTGAGGGACCTGAACCTGTTCAGCCTCGGCAAGAGGAGGCTGAGGGGAGACCTGGTGGCTGCCTACAAATTCATCATGGGAGATCATCAGCAAATAGGGAGAGCCCTTTTCTCCCCAGCACCACCTGGGGTGATGAGGAACAACGGTAATAAGCTGATGGAGAATAGGTTTAGGTCAGAGATCAGAAGGCAATATTTTACAGTTAGGGTGGCCAGAATCTGGAACCAACTTCCTAGGGAAGTGGTCCTCATCCCTACCATAAGCAAATTCAATAGGAGGTTGGATGATCACCTGCCTGGGGTCTTGTGAACCCAGCATTCATTCCTGCCTGTGGCAAGGGGTCAGGCTAGATGATCTGTTCAGGTCCCTCCTGACCCTAGCTACTATGAAACTGAAACTATGATCCTGACCTCCTGACCACAGTAGATGGAAAGCCCTAGCTAAGAGCTGGAGGCTTGTATTACCATTAGCCAAATTCTCCAGCTCCTGTAATGGTCTCACAGATGCTATATCCAGAGCAACCCTTCCTCCCCTTCCAGACTCTTACTGAGGAAAGCAGAAGGATATTTTGGGATCCCCATGCTTTGTTCCCCCCAGCTTCAGGTGCAGCCAGAACTGTTCCAGGAAAGCTGTATGCAGTAGAGTGGATCCACTCTGTGCCTGGGACCTGAGATACTGATTCGCTCTCCGATCTGCCCCCTTAGCTCCACAACCTGGAAGGTCTCTTGGTGCCTGATTCTCATGTTGCTATTCAGATACCCAGGGGGATCTGAGCTTTCACCACCCTGTGTCCCATGGCTCAGCCCTATTGCACAGGGACTGCCAGAAGGGCCACCACACACAGGAGAGTGTGAGGTCTCAGATGCAACAAGTCCCCAATGCTGCATAAGTCCTTGAGATAAATAGAAACTCTCTCTCTTACCTGCTTTAAGGAACTGCCTCCGCTCTGCGGGGGAAACAAGGGAGAGGGGTCACAGTTAGGTGGGGAGCTCAATAGAAAAGCTCACAATACATCTGTCCAGTTTCTTTCTTTCTTACTTTCTTTCTTTCAAGTAAAACCAACTGATTTTTCCCAATTGAAAATATTAATTTTGCCTGAATTTCTTTTTTACTCTTTTTAGTGGAAAAAAACCACGAAATTCTTGAGATTTTTTTATCACTTAAGAAACATTATTTTTGGTTTTAACATGTATCAGTTTCATGCAGGAAAAAAGCACAAGAAGATATTTATGAAGAGTTTCATGATGAGGAAACCCCCCATCCATTTCTTTGGTTCTTCCTCCAAAGGAAATAACTTTGTATTTCCCAGAGCTGACCTTAAATGAGCCGGAGCCCCCAGAGCCACTGGGCCTACTAATGATTCCACCAAGAGGCCACATTCCAGGAGGTGTAAATTGGCCATAGCTCCACTGGACCTGGTGTGCATTGGCTCTAGTTCTGTTGGACATGGACCAGAGTGAATGCAGGTTCTGGTGGAGGATGGGAACCTCCCCAGATGCTCCTGCTGTAGGCTGTGAGGTCCCTCCTCTCAGGCTGACTTGGTCCTGTATAATGGACCAAACTTCAGGCAAGCATGCTGAGAGCTTCAGGCCAAGTGACTACACATTTCTGCAAAGGACTGAAGTCCCCAGACTGCACTGGCTCTAGTGGACTGAGATGTTTTTATGTTATTCCCACGAACAATTTCTGTGGGGGGGAGAAGGGGAGGTGCATGAGTGACTGGTGCCTCCTGAATCTGGGGGGGCACTCGCAGAAGCCACCGACCCTGTCAGGAGGGGCACCAGTCCTACCAACAGCATCAGTGTCGGCCATTGGTGGGTCATCATCCCCACCAGTCACCCATGGGGAGGTAGGAGGGAGTGTGGTCTATTTACTTAGGTACTGTCCTAGCAAGGATGGGCTCTGGCTTCTGGCCCCTGCCTCACCACCACTTCTCTGCATCTTGTATATATTATTCACTGGATAACATGGATAAGCAGCAATGAGGGAACCCATGCCCTAAGGAGGCAGAGGCCAAGACCAGAAGCCAGGTACACACATCTCTGTGCAATCCCAGAAACAGAATCTAAGTGCCAGCATCTGCTGTTATGTAAGTGCTGCCAAGGGGCATAGAGGTGAACCATGATTTAGTCCCATGTGCCTGTACAGTGCCTGGCACTATGGGGCCTAGATCTCAATCAAGATCATAGGCGACACGTAGGGAGGGCACAGAGAGGCACTTGCCCCACATAAGACTGGCTACTGCCAACACAGCTGCTGGCATCTGCAGGCTGTCGCCGCTCGCCACCCATCCCCGCTCACCGCCGACACTGCCACAGCCAACTGCGGGCGGTCCCCACTCAGCCAGCCATCACCACTGACATCACCGTGGCCACCTACAGGTGGTCCCTGCTCACCGCCACCATGCCCCCGCTGCGGACATCACCACTGCTGCCTGCAGGTAGCCGTCATGCCCCCCAGCCTCAGGAGGCACGAGTCGTTCATGGTCAAGATGCTTGCAACACCAAGACAGGACCATTCGTGTCACCAGAAACACAAAACTAGATGTGCAGGAGAAACTCACCCAGCTCCTTAGATGCCTCCTCTGGAAGAGAAAGAGAGGGATGACGCTGAGAACATGTTAGAAGCGAGGAAGCAATACTTAGTGCCTAGAGCACTTGACCTCTCCATCCCACATATGGATTTTCCCCATAGCCAATCCTAGGCCTGGGGCTCTGGCAACAAACTGGGATTTGGGACACCTGGGTTCTCTCTCTGGATGAGCCTTTTCACCAGTCTGTGCCTCAGTTGCCCCTTCACTTTTCAGACTCCATCCTCTTCCATCAAGAAGCCACATTCCAGAAGGTATAAACTGGCCATAGCTCCACTGGACCTGGTGTGAACTGGCTCTAATTTTGTTGGGCAGGGACCAGAGTGAATACAGGTTCTGGTTGGGGATAGGAACCTCCTCAGATGCTCCTGCTACAGGCTGTGAGGCCCCTCCTCAGGCTGACCTGGTCCTCGAGAATGGACAAAACTTCAGACACATGTGCTGATAGCTTCAGGCCAAGTGACTACACATTTCTGCAAAGAACTTAAGTCCCCCAACTGTACTGGCTCTAGTGGGCTGAGATTTTTTTTATGTTATTCCCATGAACAATTTCTGTGCATGTGTGGAGTGGAGGGTAGGGGGAGTGCAGCCCAGTGACTAAGGCACCGTCCTAGCAAGGAGGGGCTGGGGCTTCTGGCCCCTGCCACACCATGGCTTTTCTGCACCCTGCATATAATATTCATTGGATACCAGAGATATGTATCAATGGGGGAATCCATGCCTGAAGGAGGTGGGGGCCAAGACCAGAAGCCAAGTACATGTATCTCTGGACAATCCCAGAAACAGAATCCAAGTGCCAACAACTGCTATTATGTACCAAGGAGCATAGAGGTGAAATAGGGTTTAGTCCCACATGTCTGTCCAGTGCCTGACATAACAGGGCCTGGATCTCAATCAAGATGCCTGCAACACCCATGGTACAAGAGATGGGATTGTTGATGTCAACAGATACATGAACGTCCATGTGCAGGAGAGACTCACCCAGCTCCTTAGATGCCTCCTCTGGAAGAGAGAGGGGTCAGGCTGATAGCATGTTAGAAGTAAGGAAGCAATACCCAGTGCCCAGAGCACTTGACCTGTCCAGCTCACATATGGTTATTTCCCCATAGCTACTCCTAGGACTGGGGCTCTGGCAGCACACTGGGATTTGGGACACCTGGGTTCTCTCCCTGGATGAGCCTCTTTACCAATCTATGCCTCAGTTGCCCCTTCATTTTTTAGACTGTGCCCTCTTTCTTTTAGACTGTGCCTTCTCCTTCACTTTTTAGACTGTGCCTACTTTTTACACTGTAGCCTGTCACTGCATGTCTGGGAAACGTCTGGTATAGGGACCCTGATCTCAGTCTGGATGTCTGGGACATCACGGTACAAGGGCCAGCAACTTGGTGACAAAAGAAATACATGAATGGGGGTGTGTAGGGGCACTCTCCTCTGAAAGAGAGAGAGAGAGAGAGAGAGAAAAGGCTGTGAGCTTGAGTTGGAAGCAGAAGTACCCCATGCTGGCAGTATCTGATCTTTCCAGCCCATATGTGGCTATTTCCCCATAATGCCCCCCTCCTGCCTGCACAGAGCCAGCCCACCCATCATGTTCTGCTTCCCCTCAGTTTAAATGTCCCAGGGAGTTCCCACATTCTGTTCTGCAATCATGAAAAAATGCAAACAAAATGTTAGGGATTATTAAGAAGGGAACTGTAAACAAAACAGAAAGTTTTATCATTGATAAATGTGGATGCCCCTTTATAAATCCGTGGTGCACCCACACCTTAAATGCTGTGCCCAGTCCTGGTCCTCACACCTCAGAAAGGATATACAACAACTAGAGAAGGTCCAGAGAAGGGCAACAAGGATGATTGATAGTCTGGGGGGGCTTCCATATGAGGAGAGGCTAAAGAGGGTAAACCTATTCATTTTGGAAGAGACGTGTGAGGGGGGACATGATAAGGGCTTACAAAATCCTATATGGCAAAGAGAAATTAAATAGGGATTTATTATTTACCCTCTCGTACAATACAAAAACTAGGAGTTAGAAAATAAAATTAGAGGGTAGTAAGTTAAAAACTAACACAAGGAAGTTCTTTTTTTATACAGCATGTAATAAAAATGTGGAATTCATTACCAGTGGATGTGATATTAACTGACAGCTTAGCCAGATTGAAAAAGGGGCTTGATAAATTCTTGGAGGGAAGGGGCATCAGTAACTAGTGAGCACAGGAGGGAGGGATTCAGCCTCTGAATTGGAACTTCCTAGACCTTAAATGCTGGAGGCTGCAAGTGAAGGAGGAACTGTGGAAAAAACCCTGGTCATACACAGTTGACTCTCCCTTTCAGCATCCACTCTCTGCTCCTGTGTGACATGGGATACTGGGCAGGATGGACCTATGGTCTGACCCAGTAAATGGCAGCTCTTATGTTACTTATGTTACAGGAGGCACTACTTCACAGTCAGGGCGGCTAGGATCTGGAACCAACTTCCAAGCAAAGTGGTGCTGGCTCCTACTCTGGGGGCCTTTAAGACAAGTTTAGACAAACACCTTGCTGGGGTCGTTTGACCCCAGTACTTTTTCCTGCCATGGCAAGGGGTCAGACTTGATGATCTGCTCAGGTCCCTTCCGACCCTAACATCTATGAAACTGTTCTGGGGAAACTTGCACAGCATCCAGAGAAACAAGATCCCAGGACAGCGCTGGGATCCAGAGGAAACCAGAGAATCCCCCAGGCAAGACAACTGAGACAGTGTGACACCTGCTGCACCCCACACAGAGGGCTGGGCTGCCCCCCAAGCACCTAGGCTGGCATTGCCATGGGGGCATCTCCAAACACCTGGGCTCCCTCCTGGCTCTCAGTTTTCCAGCTATGGGAGCCACAGAGACTAGCTGGGTCTGGGGCTCAGGCAGCAAACTGAGATTAAGGACACTTGGGTTCCCTCCCAGGATGAGCCCATAGCCTGTCCATGCCTGCTTCCCCTTCAGTTCTGTACATTTAGATTGTGGTGTCCTTAGGGCAGTCTGTCACTGCATGTCCGTGCAGTACCTGGTACTGTGAGGCCCTGATTTTGTTTATGGGGCATCTGTGCAGTGCCTGAAAATGGAGCGGTAACCTTGGTCACTGTGTATCTGCAGTGCCCAGCAGGACAAGAGCCCCAGTGTCAGTACCCAACTGCTGGGCAGTGCCTGGCCTGGTGGAGCTCTTTTCTGGGAACAGCTCATGGCCATTACATGAAACCCCTTCCCTGGCTGTTGGGAGAGGAGTGGGGGACTCACCATGTTCTTTACGAAATCGTCGGAAGAGGTAAGCCCCGAGGAGAGAGAAGAGGAGAGCCACTGTCAGCAGGACCCACAGGACTGCCTTCTCAGGAGGTGACTGCGGGAAGAGGCCTGCAAAGAGGACACAGAATGCAGCCTGTTAGGGCACTTTGGAGGGTGCTAACTCCTCTGTTCTGCAAGGTGGGGACAGCAGAGTTACTGAGATCAGGGGCCAGGCTCCGAGCTCCGCTCCCCCTTGTCACCCTGACTGCAGCAATTCTGACTCCTGTTCCCCTGGCTTCACTCTAGAGTCACCCTCTCCCTGCAATGGGCTCAGGGCCACGCCAGTACCCCTGAATAGGTGCCGGGAAGGATCTGAGCCGCATGGGCACTTACCTGTGATACTGATGCTTGTCTTTTTCTCTGGGCCAGGAGCACTGGGCCTGACAGTGCAGCTCAGCACGGGGTCAGAGCTCTTCGTCAACACCACAGAGCTGGAGAGGTTGAAGAGGCCACGATCGCTGCTGTCTTTCTCTTGTGAGTCAGGGCTCAGGGTCTCCCCACGGCTGTTTGTCCAGAGCAGCTGGGGCTCTGGGTACCACCCAGCAGAGAGACACGTGACCCGGATGCCCCCACCGTCATCAATCATGATGTGGAGGAGGGGGTCTGAGCCAGAATCTAGAGGACAAAGAAGAATCAGCAGCAAATCAGTCGCTGACGGCTTCCTAGCGATTCCCTCACCTGCCCCCCCCCCCCCCCCCCTGCTCCCCCAGCAGACAGCACTTTGTGGGGAAACTGAGGCATGAGGGAGAAGGGCTCAGCACACATCACGTGACCTTCATGCATCCTCTCAGGAGCACAATGACAGACTCCCAGTGGGGGCCCCCATGGGATGCACTGAGCCCAGGCCTTGTAGCAGAAAGCCCCCTTTTCCTCTTGCCTGCATTTGCTCTCCCCTCTTTGGATATGTTTCTCTTTTTCTACCTTTTCTTCCTTCCTCTCTCTTTCACTTTAAGATAAGGAATTGTGTTTTAAAATTTGT